CAACAAGATGTGCCCGGTATACATAGGTACTACGTCACACATTACCTTGTCATGATATCTACCAATTGAAAAATTTATCAAGACTCTCGTATTCACCTTAACCTCCCCACATTCATTCAACCATTTCAATCTGTAAGGTTTATGATGTTTCAGCAAACTTAGTACCAATTTTTCAACAAGTATAGTGCTAGTCACATTTGTACAACTACCACCATCTACACCATGCTACATACCTTATCATTGATGAGACACCACATATGGAAGATGTTTTTTCTTTGCTGCTTCAAGTTATCCACTTTGATTTGAATATTAAGAGCTCTCATCGTGACCAGTAGCTCTCCAACTGCATACTCCAACTTTTCGCCATCACTTGTTTTTTCCAATTCCGCTATGTCTACATAATTACCTTTACTTTCGCTCACCACCTCTTCATTGTCCTTTTGTTTGGGCATTGAGATGTAATACGTCCCAACCCTAAACATTTAAAGCATTTGATGTCTAGGCTCTTTAATGGTTGATATTTTACCTTGAGCGTGGTCTTGCTAGCACTTTATTCTCTTCCTTTGGTATTTCAACTCTACCTTTCAAAACAGCCTAATCTCATTTATTGTTATCCCATTTCGGTTTCCTATAATAATTAGAACCTGAAGAACCCGATAAAAACTGTGCTACCCCTTTCCTCTTCAATTGTCTTTCCACCTTCATAGCCACGTGTAGCATGTCTTCCAATTCCACATTGTTGCAACTCTACTAAATTACATATTTCTCTATTCAATCCATTCAAAAACCTATCCATTGAGGCTTTCCCATCCCCCTCCACATTCGCCCTTACCATCAACATCTCCATCTCCTTATGGTAATCTCCAACGCTCCTAGTATCTTGGTACAGGCCTTGTAACTCTTGAAGAAGCTCCTTATAATAGTGACTAGACATGAATCTCTTCATCATGAAAGTCTTCAATTCCTCCCATTATTAATCGGCCTTTAATGGTTTCTCCTCCTTAGTGTCACCACTTGATCCCACCAAGTTATTGCATAATCGGTAAATTCAAGGATTGCAATTTTCACCTTCTTTCCCTCTGAATGATTGTGGCAATCAAAAATCAAGTCCACATCTTTCTCCCAATCTAGTAAGCTTCTGGATTGCTTCAACCCTTGTATGACGAAATTGTCATTTTAATATTACCCATATTTCCATCCACTTCGTCTCCAATAAGATTCATGCCCTTTCTTTCAACCCTAGATCCTCTATTCCTCATTCTCCCTATTTCAACATCAACTAATGCATCTTCATCTAAGTCACTACCATAATTATGTTCTACCCGATTCTCTACCCTAGGCTCTCGCTTACCTTATCTCATTGCATTAGTGTTCCCCTTCATAGATTGGAAAGCACCAAATCTTGCCATAGATTGGAAAGCACCAAATCTTGCCTTTCCATCCATGTTTCCTACATATCCCGCATATCTTCAAACAATCTTTCGAACCGTCATGTCACCTCATCCGACATGTTGACTTGAATGTGGTTCTTGCTGAACAGAATAACGCAGTAATTGTAGCACAACTTTGGGGTGTCAATTCCACAGGGAGATGGACGAATTGTTTAAAGGATTTATCGAACTAGGATTTCGTGAATTATGTGAAAATAACTTGTCAAATGGAATGAGATTTAATTATCAATATACGAGATTAGTGAAGCGTCCGAATTCCTTCAATTGGATCAGATCGTCAACATCAATAATTCATAGCTTTTTGCTCAATTAGAGATTTTCATCCCAACTCTCTAATCGGAAGACTTAACAATGGAGATCAATCAAATTTCAATTGTAATCTTAGGATCTAGACTTTTGTAAATCATTCCCACACATGTTTATTAGATTAAGATTAAGAATTGACCATAAACACAACGCATAAGAAAATAAATAATCCACCAATAAAGTTGATTGTGAAATTCAACAATTAATTCAATTCCACAATAGAAAAAACATTATTTAATCTATGAAGGATCTAGTATAAGTTAAATCAATTCTAAAGTAAATTCATAAAAGAAAGTCTAGGTCTAGAAGTATTTTACAATGAAAATACCGATTTGCATGAATAAATGATGTGAAGTCACCAAATCCAATGAATTCCTTCGTAGCTTCACCTAAGAATTTAGTTCTCCATCGAATTCTTTAGCCTAAGATGAGAGAAAATTGTTATGGAGGTGAAGAAAGACGGTTCTGCCCAGTCTAGGACTTAAAATCGTGTGCCAAGTTATTTCCAAAAGAGGTTGAACCGAATAAGAAACTGAATTTTCAGTCAGAATATTTTGTGCGACTACTTTCATTAATTTGACCATGACTTTTCTCCTAATGTCCGATTAAGGAAATTAAAAGTGCATTGAAAAGTTAACACGAAGAGCTACAATTTTACTAGAATATGTCTTTCCAAATTCGAAGGTTTACTAGGTCAAAAGTTTGTCTCAATTCCGACTGAAAATCTGAAAATTCCTTATGCGGTTGTAATTTGATTTGTGAAAATATTATGGTCATATTTAATTTCTTTTGACTTCTAATTGCACCTAATTGAACCCTATCATTCTCGAATCATCATTCCATTGCCCATCTCATCTATGGATTATTTGCAACTTAGTCCATGAACTTTCACTTTGGTCATTTTTTACTCATTTCTTCTGAGTTTCGCCTTTTTTCATCAAATTGCTGCCTAGATCAAAACATAACGATGATGAGTTCATTTTGGCATAAAGTAATCACACAAATGCAACATTTAAGAGGGGAAAATTATGATATTTTGCCCTCTTATCACACCCCAACTTGTTTATTGTTAGTCCTTAGCAATTTAATGCAAAACAAGTAAATGAATGACTGGTTCATGATACAAATGAAATTATTAAGTATCAATTTAACCACATGCCATGTCCCTTTCAAACTCAACACCACAAGAAATTAACAATGTTATGATCATTAAGATATCGAAAACATATGCCAAATGTGTGAATGTGTGTTAAGTCATAGCCATCTTACCACCAACCCTAACACGTAACATCAAGTATGTCTCAAACTAAAGATTCAGCCCCATAACTCACAAAAATCAAAATGTATAATGAGGTTTTCTCTCTATGGAACTGAAAAAGGATATACACTCATAACTTGGAGGCTTAAATATTTATGAATAAGCAACAAACAAACGTTGATAATATGATAGGCACACTATCCACTGAGAATTCATCAACTACTTACTACAATCCTACTTAGGGTCAAAACAGTCAATATAAAATGTTGTAATGAGGATCAAGTTGGGCTATGTGTATAGAATGGCAAAAGGAATTCAAGGACTTCCAAGTATGTAGTTAGGCATTTCATCAAGTATTTCAATAGATCAAATCCTTTACATCAATGCATTCCTCAACGTTTCAATTTCCAACATCAATCCACCTTCTTCTTCTTCTTCTTCTTCTTTTTTTTTTTTTTTTTTTTTTTTTTAAAAAAATTGAAATAAATTTTTTTCTTTCCTATTCCTCTCTTTGATGATATAACCTTTCAACACGAAAAACTCATTTGCTTCTTGAAAATATGTAAACTCCGTCAATTTAGAGCATGCTAAGTTACAACCCCCCTTTTTTTTTTTTTTTTTTTTTTTTTTTTTTTTTTTTTTTTTTTTGATTTATCACTTTACTTGAGCACTTATCAACTCTTATCACTTTTTTTTGTTGCTTTTATTCTCAAATGACATTCAATGCCTACTATAAACTTGGAAGCATAAAGGTTTAAAAAATGAATGTTTATGAACTTTATTCCAATGTGAAGAGGTATGGATAACATAAGCGCATGAAGAGAAATGGTTATATATGTGTATTGACTCAAAGTGGATACTAGGAGATTATAATTACGAAAAGAAACTAGTTTGAAGGCTCAAATTAAATCCTAAATTGACTGTTATCATTTCTCAAGTATAATCCACCGTCTTACCACGTACTATGTAATGTTATTCTCAGAAGAAGTTTCCAATTCACAAAATCAATGAATACTTATTACCATTTTTAGTATATATGGCTCTTAATCCTCACCAATCTCCTCACAAGAAAACTTCAGCAAAAGACTCCTTCGACTACATGTATTAAACCACTATCTTACCACAAGGCTTGTGTGTACAAAATGATTCGACAAGTGTCTCAACATCTAGACTCACATGAACAATATCAACTTCTAGTGGCATATTTTGTCATTCAACAACATGAACTTGTAGCAAATAGAGACTTAAAGAAAAATTTTAGACCAATTTAGTAAAACAAAATTAACGTTCCATGAAAATCATGTAATTCACAAGAAAAATTCAAATACACTCTCCTCCAACTAAACATTGCATTGTCTACAACGCAAAAACATGTCTACCAAAATAAGGGAAAGATGTCATCTGAATATTGCAGTGAATCAACAGAAGCTTGAATATGGTGGATCTGAAGGTTCTCAATAAAAATGGGTGACGCAAGAAATGAAAATAAATTGAAAGAAAAATCAAAATACACCTAAAAGAAAAATCTAAAAACTAGTTTACAAAAAGGGTGAAAGACATACCTCAAGTGTGTCGTGGGCGATAAATCGAGTCTCCCAAGGAAATTTCTTCCACCGCAATCACCTGTTACCCATAGACTTTTTTGAATCTCTGTCCATTCACCTTGAATACCCTACCACCATTGGGATCTTCTATTTCAACAACCCCATTTTAAAAAACTCGTGTCACCATAAATGGGACAGTCCACCTAGAATGGAGTTTTTATGGATGCTTATAAAGTCTAAAATCTACAAGTACACTTTCTGGTCCGGTTCAAAAGTTTTTCTAAAAATATTTTTATTATGAAATGCTTTCATTTTCAACTTGTAGATTCTAGAACTTTTTTAGGCATCATTTCTTAGTTCCTCCAGCTCACTCAATTGAAATTTCCTATGTTTACCTCCCCCTATCAGATCAAAGTTAAACTGCTTAATAGCTCAAAGGGCTCAGTGCTCAAGTTCGACAGGTAAGTGACAAGGCTTTCCGAAGTTAAGCATATAATGTAACAAGCCTAACGAAGTCTTAAAAGCTGTGCAGTAGGCCCAAAGTACGTCATGTAGTCTCAATGACCAATCTTTACAATTGGGGTTCACCATCTTCTCTAAAATTTGTTTAATCTCCATATTGGCCAAATATACATGTCCACTAGTTTGGGGGTGATAAGCGGTGAAAATTTTGTAAATAACCCCATACTTTTTCATTAGTGCCTCAAATAAACGACTGCAAAAGTGTGTGCCTCTATCACTAATAATGACGCGTGGTGTGTCAAACCGAGACAAAACATTTTCTGTAAGGAACTTAACAACCATTTTATTGTCATTGGCTCTACAAACAGCTGCATCTACCCATTTAGACACATAATCAATCTCCACAATGATATAAAGGTAGCCAAAAGAAGGTTGAAAGGATCCCATAAAGTCGATACCCCAACAATCAAATACTTCAATTACCAAAATGGAATTTAGAGGCATCATATTACGTCGAAAAATAGCACCTAATTTTTGACACCTCCCACAAGATCTACAATAAGTATTAGAGTCTTTAAACAAAGTAGGCCAATAAAAATCACATTGCAAAATTTTTGCAGCGGTCTTTTTCATAGAAAATTGGCCTCCACAAGCTAGATATGACAAAAATCTAGTACAGTGGGTATCTCCTCATTAGGAATACAACATCTCAAGATTTGGTCCAGGCAATACTTAAATAAACAAGGGTCATCCCAATAAAAGTTACATACCTCAACCAAGAACTTTCTTTTATCCTGTGCGCTCCACTCCTTTGGATTTCTCCTGCAGCCCAGTAATTTACACTGTTAGCAAACCAGGGTAAAGATGAGACAAAGTGTAGATTCTCATCAGGAAATTCATCTCTCATTGACAAGATGTTTGATGTGTCTTCAAATGTCAGTCTTCATAGATGGTTTACTACCACATTTTCCACTCCTTTCTTGTCCTTGATGGTGATGTCAAATTCTTGCAAAAGTAGAATCTACCGTATTAATAGTGCCTTAGCATTCTTCTTTGCAAGAAGATACTTAAGGGTGGCATGATCTGTGAAAATAAGAATAGGAAAACAATCAAATAGGATCGAAACTTATCGAGTGCAAAGATTACAGCTAGCAACTCTTTTTCAACAGTGGAATAGTTCATTTAAGCACTATTTAGAGTCCTACTTGCGTAATAAATCACAAAAGCCTTACCTTTCTTTCGTTGCCCAAGAACAACACCTACCACAAAATCACTAGCATCACACATAATTTCAAATGGCAATGTCCAATCAGGTGATTGCATTATAGGTACGGAGGTCAGTTTACCTATCAACAGTTCAAAAGCATGTTGACATTCAGGCGTCCATTCAAAAGTCACATCTTTGCTAAGTAAGTTACATAGGAGTCTAGATATAGATAGGGATGGCAATCGGGCTCGTCGGCTCGGGCCGTCCGTGGCTCGGCTCGAGGCTCGATAGACCCGAGCCTAGGCTCGGGCCGAGCCCCATTTTAGGGACACGGGCTTTGCCCGAGCCGGCCCGTGAGCTCGCGAGATTTAAAAAAAATTTCAAATGAAGCCTTAAAAGGCAGCAAAACTGCTGCCTTTTAAAGGCAACAAATCTGCTGCCTTTTAAGGCAGCAGATTAGAAGACTAATATTAAAAAAAAATGTGGAGAAAACGAGTCTGCCCGACTCGGCCCGTAAAAAGCCGAGCCTATTTTTTTTGGCCGAGCTTTTGGCTCGACCCCGCAAAAAAGCTCGGCCATTTTAACCGGGTCGAGCCGGAGCCGAAACTTTAGGCTCGCGAGCCGGCTCGGCCCGGCTCGTTTACATCCCTAGATATAGATGAGAAATTTAGTATAAACCTCATATAAAAATCTCCATGACCAAGAAATGATCTAATGTCTTTTACTGTCTTAGGCGTGGGGAGTTTAGAAATCATTTCAATCTTAGATTTATCAACCCCGATCCCTTTTGAAGAAATGACATGTCCTAAGACAATACCGGAAGACACCATGAAATAACATTTTTTCCAATTCAAACTAAGCTTTTTTCTTCACATCTAGCCAAAACTCTCTTCAAAATCAACAAACATGCATCAAAAGAGGTTCCAAACACAGTTAAGTCATCCATAAACACTTTCATGCAATCATCTACCATATCAAATATACTTATCATGCATCTTTGAAAGGTGGCAGGGGGATTACAAAGTCCAAATGACATCTTACGAAATGCATAAGTACCAAAAGGGCATGTAAATATGGTCTTTTCCTAGTCATCTAAAGCTATTTCAATTTGACAGTAACCAGAGTATCCATCCAGAAAGCAATAAAAGGGAGGACCAGCTATACGTTCGAGTATTTGGTTCAGAAAAGGGAGAAGGAAATGGTCCTTGTGAGTGGCAGTATTTAACTTCATATAATCAATACACATGCGCTAACCAGTTACTGTTTTTGTTGGGACCAATTCACCTACTTCATTTTTAACTGTCGTGACACATGTCTTCTTAGGGACCACCTATGTAGGACTAACCCATTTACTATCTACAATTGAATAAATGATTCTTGCATCTTGTAATTTAAACACTTCATTTTTAACACTTCTTTCATTGTGGGATTTAATCTATATTGTGGGTCTTTGCTGGGGTTAGTCCCTTCCTCTAGATGAATTCTATGTGGACAAATTAAAGGACTAATACCTTTGATATCGGCTATGGTCCACCCTAGTACAGATTTATGCTCATTCAAAATGCTCAAAAGCTGTTCTCATTGCATAGCATTCAATTTTGAAGAAATAATTACAGGAAATGTATCATCTGGTCCAAGGAATCCTGGGGATAGTTGTTTCAATTCTAGCTTAGGGCTCTCAATGCTTGATAGTTTTTGTCATCCAGTCCTTTCGGACAGTTCTTCAAACTTGGGTTGCCATGGCGAAGTCTTATTGTCCTATAATTTTGCAAAAACACCACAACTGGTAGCATATTCATCAATATCAAAACCAATTGAGATTTTAGAATTTAGGAGGAAAGAGTTCAAGGGATCAAAATCAATTTTTGCAGATACTTCTTCCTGCGTTAGTGCATCAATTATGTAAGTTTGATGAGATTCATCTTCTTCTCTAGGTTGCTTGATGACATGAAAAATATTAACTTCTAGAGTAATATTCCCAAAGATAGTTTCATCAGACCATTCCTACAATTGATTAGATCATTAGCTATAGTAAGGAAAGGTCCATCAAGTATGATCAGGATTTTAGAGTCAACATTCACATCTAGTACCAAAAAATCAAAGGGTAGTAAAATTTATCACCCTGAACTAGCATATCCTCAACTACTCCCTAGGTCTTATGTTGGACCTGTCAGCTAACTGAAGGACCACTGAGGTATGTTTCGTCTCTCCCAGACCTAACAACAATTATATAGGATAAGACATGAGGTTAACACTAGCTCCTAAATCAAGAAGGACTTGTGCAAACTCACGATTCCCAATGACACAAGAGATGGTAGGAAAACCAGGGTGCTTAACCTTAGGTGGGATCCTCTGCTCTATCATAGCACTCATTTGCTCTGCTCGATCAAGAAAACGATTTTCTTGACATGATGTTTTCTTTTCACAGTGCATAAGTTTTTAAGGACTTCAGCATATGTAGGAACTTGAGAGATCACGTGCAAGAGAGGTAAATTGATTTTTACTTTTTTAAGATGCTTTAGGATTTCATTGTGTTGAGTGGTTAACTTCGAGGTAGATTTGAGGGCTTGAGGGAAAGGTACCCTAATTGGAGCTTCTACTACTTTTTCACTGGGGCTACTCTCGTTAGGCTCACTTGATTCTTTTTCATTCTGCCTAAATTGAATGGCTGGTTCAATGACTTTTCCAAATCTAGTGGTTATGGCATTTACTTCATTAAAGTTGGTCTCTCCCAATCCTGAAGTTTGTGCCATGTGTTGCCCATTTAGATTTGGTTGAGCTTGAGCTGGAGGCATTGGTTAGTTTGGACACATAATTCTTTATCTCTTTGTTTTCCTCAACTAACTAGTCAATCATAGTCTCAAATTTTTTATTTATTTTACCCTATGCCTCAATAAATGCATGTGAAGTATCTTTTAAGGAATTCTAAAGGGTGCGGGTTGTCGTAGGGGTGTATTGTAAGCTTTATTGGATTGGGCAGCTTGTTGGTTTTCAGACTTCCAGCTAAAGTTCGGGTGATTCTGCCACCCTGGGTTGTAAGTCTCGAGATAAGGGGTATAGGGCTTTTGATATACCCCTAGAGCATTACAGTGTTCTTCATAAAAGTCTCCTTATTTCAGCATAAATAGCACACTCTTGTGCTAGGTGATCACTCGATCCACACACAAAACAAGGTTCTAAAGGCTCAACATGAGAAACAAGTCAAGTTGTTTTTGAATCCTTAGCACGTAGGGCTTCAAGTTCTCTAGTGAGGGCTTCTACCTTTGCTCTAAGGTTGTTTTCCTTCCTAAGATGATAAATACCTGTGCAGGTTTTCAGTAGATCGTGACATATTAGTACTTTTAGTGGCACTAGGTTCAGTGCAGGTATGGGCTTTCTCGACTTAGTCATCTAGGTAGTCTATAGCCTCATCTAGATTTTTTTGTAAGAGATCACCATTACAGATCATTTCAACAAACTGACGTTTTCTAGGTGTTAATATTTCGTAGAAATAACTCATCACACGCCAACTCTCATAACAATGGTGGGGACAAAGGGCTTGCAACTCTTTATATATTTCCGGGCTTGGTATAAGGTTTCATTATTCTTTTGGGAAAATGAAGAGATTTGCTTCTTAAAGACAATGATTTTATGATGGGGATAGTATTTGTTAAAGAAAACTTGGGTCATTTCAGCCCAAGTCCCAATCGAATGTGGTCACAATGAATATAGCTAGCTCTTTGCTCTTTCTTTAAGAGAAAACGGGAAAAATTTAAACCTGACTGCATCCATTGTACCACGTTGATTGTGGAAAGTTGCGACCACCTCTTCAAATTCCCTAATATGCACGTATGTGTTTTCATTTTTAAGACTGTGAAAGGTGGAAAAAGTTAGATCATTCCCGAATTAAGGTCCATACGTGACATATTAGGTGAAAATATATTGCATGATGGTGTAGATGTGTGTGTGGGACGAAGATAATCATGCAAGTCCTAGTTGGTGCCTCTTCGTGTTCACTATCAGTCATTGTGTTGTGTGATGTGATGTGTGCGCCAATAGATTCAGTATCAAAGAGAGGGTTAGGAAGAAATTCAAACACTGGTTGCGGCCTTGCGACCCCTCTCGTCTCGATTTGTGTTCATAAAGCACCAAAAAATATGGAATTTTGTGAGAAATAACAGAATAAAAACTAATAAAATCAAACTAACTAAGTAAATGTAAAAGATGAATGAAGTCACCATTTTACTCGAAAATCCTTTGATTATTTGTAGCACAACTCCGGCAACGGCACCAAAATTTGATTACGCTTAAAGAATAACGCGGTAGTTGTAGCACAGCTTGGGGTGTCGATTCCACAGGGAGATGGACGAATTGTTTAAAGGATTTATCAAACTAGGATTTCATGAATTATGTGGAAATAATTTGTCAATTGGAATGAGATTTAATGATCAATATGCGAGATTAGTGAAGCGTCCGAATTCCTTCAATTGGATTGGATCATCAACATCAATAATTCATGACTTTTTGCTCAATTAGAGGCTTTGATCCCAACTTTCTAATTGGAAGACTTAACAATGGAGATCAATCAAATTTCAATTGTAATCCTAAGATCTAGACTTTTGTAAATCATTTCCACACATGTTTATTGGACTAAGATAAGAATCAACCATATACACAACGAATAAGGTGGTAAATAATCCACCAATAAAGTTGATCGAAATTGAAATTCGACAATTAGTTCAATTTCACAATAGAAAAAATATGATTGAATCTATGAAGAGTCTAGTAAATGTTAAATCAATTCTAAAGTAAATTCATAAAAGAAAGTCTAGATCTAGAAGTATTTGACAATAAAAATATCAATTTGCATGAATAAATGATGGGAAGTCGCCAAATCCAATGAGTTCCTTTGTAGCTTCACCTAGGAATTTAGTTCTCCATCAAATTCTTTAGTTCAAAATGAGAGAAAATTGTTATGAAGGTGAAGAGAGGCGTGCTCTGTCCAGTTTAGAGATTAAAACCGTGTGTCAAGTTGTTTCGAAAAGAAGTTGAATCGAATAAGGAAACTAAATTTTTGGTCAGAATATTCTGTACGACTAGTTTCAATATTTTGACCATAATTTTCTCTCTTAATGTCCGATTAAGGCAATTCAAAGTGTCTTAAAAAGCTAACACAAAGGGCTATAATTTTTCTAGCAATAGCTCTTTCCAAATTCGAAGGTTTACTCGGTCAAAAGTTGATCTCAATCTCCGGATGAAAATTTGGAAAATCCTTATGCGGTTGAAATTTGATTTGTGAAAATATGATGGTCATATTTAACTTTTTTGGACTTCTAATTGATCCCTAACATTATCTAGTCATCATTCCATCGCCCGTCTCATCTATGAATTATTTGCAACTTGATCCTTAAACTTTCACTTTCATCATTTTTCACTCATTTCTTCCAAGATTCGTCCTTTTCATCTAATTGCGATCTAGATCAAAACATAACGAAAATGAGTTCATTTTGGCATAAAGTAATCACACAAATGCAACAATTAAGAGGGGAAAATTATGATATTTTGCACTCTTATCAATATCCGAAATCTAACTAATTATTTGCCTCATGTATGTGCTCTATGTATCATTCAATTTGGCTTTTACCCTCTATTAGTCTCACAACTCTGTCTCTTTCTACTCAATACTTTTGCCCAAGTGCTTCAAAGAACAATTTCGAATTCAACCAGGAATTATTCTCTTATAATTCAAATCGGGATGCAAGTGAGAATCGTAACTTTAGAAGTGCTTCAAAGAACAATTTCGATTTCAACCAGGAATTATTCTCTTATAATTCAAACCGGGGTGTGAGTGAGAATACAATTTGGAATGAGAACTATTGTAATTCAAGAAATTGGTTTTTGAATTTTGGTTGGAACAGACAGAAATAAAATTTTGACTCAAGAAAAATAATGGAATACTAGTGATTTCTGAAATAAATCAAACAATAATAATAATTAATTTTTTTTTATTTTCGGATTTTTTGGATTTTTTTGACTTGGAAATTCGACTATGACACATCAAAAGAAACGAAAGTTGATTTGAAGGCTAAATTTAAAAAAAAAAAACTTTTGAACTTTTGTTGGAACTTTCAAAAATTAAATACTCAAAAAGGATGAAGAACGCAAAAAGAACAAAAGAGATAGAAAAAGAAAAGATTCAAAAAAAGAAAAAGAAAAAAAGGGATATAACCTTAATTTTTTTGGAGCCTAAGTTTTGTTACTAACTGATGTGAATTCGTGTAACAATGGAAGCTACGAAACCTACATGAGATTGAATCACAACACAAGAAAATCAAGAAATCAAAATTTTGAACCAAGCAACCAACAATCGCTGACAATATGTTGACCTCTTGATCACAAAACTTGGAAAAATCTCATCCGAAAAGTTTGAACGCCACAAGAATTAAAATTTTGATAAGTTCGTAATTTGTTCAATGAAGAACAAGAGATTTGAAAGCAATAATAGCTCACAAAAATAACCTCTCAATTGATAGGAATAATGAATGTTTTATAGTGTCAATAATAGGTCCTATTTATAGGGAACCCATGTAAACCTAATTAAAAACGGAAAAGAATCCTAAAAGACTATAAAAGTTACCAAAAATTAGTGTATTATACAATTAGGAAAAATTGCGAAATTGGAAATTTCTTTGTGCCAGGTATGCCCACGCGACCACATAGTTATGTTGAGTGTGGTCGCATAGAAGACTTCAAAGCGACATCTATGGTTGTTGCATATAGGCATGCGACTGCATGCCATGATCACCTATGCATATCACTTTTAAATGGCATCAAGAGAGCGGTTTATTTATTTTTATTTTTATTTTTATGAGGATTAGAACAGGTTGTTGTGGTTATATTGACAGATTTTTCAATTCAGTAGGGATTTTTTACATTTCCTTTGGTGTTTGTACTTCTAGGTTTGAAAATATTACCTTTATCTAGCCAAGAAGATTAATTTTTTGTCTAATCTTTGCTTAGTTCTGTATTTCTTTGTTATTTTTTGCGACTTTAGTTAAGGGTGTTATCATTCTTTCTGTTTATACGTGAAATTTAGTTGAGTTCTTTTTTCTTCACTTCGATCTATTTTGCTCAATGTTTGTTTTTAGTGCTTTTATGAAGATTAAAAGAGAGTGCTGTAGATATATTCAAATATTCTTGGCTCATCTAGGAGTTCTTACTGTTTTCTTCATTTTCCTATTTGAAAATTTCATCTGGATTTTTATTTATGTTTTCTTCTCTTGCTTTTAATTTTTTGAATTAACAATTTTTTTTAGTGTTGTGAATTATTTTTATTATGATTTCCTTTTATTTGTTATAATAATTTTCCTGATTCCGTGTGAATTTTGGTTCCGATAATTCTTTTAGTACTTCCATCATTGACCAAAGTTGTTCTTGCACATGAAGTGGCTGGTTCCAATGTTGTTAAACTTCCATAGTTGATCAAGGTTGTTCTTGTTCATGAAGTGTCTGGTTCCAATACCGTTAAACTGCCTGATGATGTAAACGACTTATTCATATCAAATGGTTTTCATTCTTCTGACTTGTTAACAATACCCATCCGTTGCCATCGATTTCTATATGATTTAAGTAAAAACTTACTGAAGTTACATAATAGTTTGGATTTTCATTAACATTTCACACGTTAACATTATCTTAAAAATATGCACGGGTAAAAAAATAGTTTATTTAAAACTGCCAATTTTATGATGATTTGACAGTTTAAGTAGTAAGCTAGTAGTTAAATCAATTATTTGTGAATTTAATGTTTAATGCA